CGCGATCCTTGCACGGCGCTTCCCAAGCAGAACCAGGAAGATTTTTTAATATAAAACTGGTAGCCAGCGGGTGAATTAAGGATGCTAATTGAATTTCATTAGGCAGAGGAGCCGGGCCGGTGGGAGGCAGGGAGGAAATGTATTTGATGTGTTTTAAAAGCCGCAGTTTCAGAATGTGGTGGGTTTTTTTTTTTTTCCTTATTTTAATTTAAAGCCGGTCGTAAAAAGATCCCGTCTTTGAGGAGCTAATGACTCTCATGAATTATTTTTGTTGATTTATACACCCACCCGGCTCTTTAATAATATTAATAAAGTAAAAGTGAATCCGTTCCCAGGCAGGAGCGGGAGCGATGCTGCTCGGGGGGCGCAGGGGCCATGGGACAGGGGGGACGGCCACCACCTCACCCACGCGTCCCCCATCTCGGGCTCCGGCGGTGAAGCCACGCTGCGCTTTGGGCCAAAACCAGGTGATTTTGGAGGCCGCTGCAGCATGCCGGCGCTCGCAGCCCCTCGCCGGGGCCGGACGGTGCCTCGCTCCCCTCGGCCGAGCATTAGTATTCAGCGTCGGTGCCGTAATGGGCACTTTTCATGCCGGTTTGGTTTTATTATTATGCCAAGAAGCTTGCTTAATTCTCTGCTGTCTTTCTTCTGCACTGTTGATTTACACTGTTAGTGTTTTAATTATACAATTCAGCACTCCTTAAAACATGAAAAACTGCTCAACTTTTGAAGCAATTAAAAGGCAGCAGAGTAGATCAGCCGATCAGAGATGAGATAAGTAAATCAAACAATTAAAAAACTCATTTGGTGGAGGGTGGGGGATCATCCCACCCAACAAGCCTCCCCTCGGTGAGAGCCCCACAGCTCCCACCTCCTCCCAGTAACTTGTCCTAGTGTGATACTGGGAGCAACTGGTGGGACTGCCACCGGGTGGGAGTGCCGTGGGATGCAGGGTGATGGGTGCAGGGTGATGGGGATGGGGCGCTGTCCCTTCCCCAGTGTCACCTACCGCTGCTTTTCTTCCTCCTCCTTCTTCTTCCTTCTAACTTAATCCCATCATTCAGGGGAGCTGCCGGCGATGACGGACTCGCGTCCCGGGGGTTTTGAGTCTCCGGGACAAGCCGGGACGTATCCACGCTGCCAACACGAGACACGGCCCCACGACCCTCCGGTCCCCTCGTGGGCACACGGGCGCTGCCAACAGCATCCCTCCGCCAGCAGTAATTAAAAGCAGAAGGTAATTAATTATCCATCTCCAAAACCACCATGGCTGCAAGATCAGAAACCAGCGGGTAATTAATCTTTGGCAGCTTTGGCACCCAGCGCCAGCTCGGGCCACCCTGGAGCGGGTGCCCACGGGGGTTCACCCCACACGGGGCCGTGGAGGGTGGACCCACAGCATCGGGGCACGGTCCCAGGGAAGAGTTTGCTTTGCGAGGCAGCTGTAATACACGTGCCCTGCCACAGCCCCCCCAAAACCACAGCCCCCGCGGCTGGGGGGGGGGCCGGGAGGTGGGTGGGGATGTCCACGGACGGGGCCACGGGTGACGAGGAATGGGAGCTCGTCCTCCAGCTGCGGAGCGGAGGAGCCTCTGCGGGGCTGTAACTCCTCACCCTCCATTAAACATTGTTGTTTAATAGGCCTGGAACAAAAATCCTGCTTTTTAGTGAGTTAGAGCCATTTCCCCATAGCGCGGCGGTGATTACCCTGCTCCGGCAGCCCCCCCCCACCGCAACACTCCCCACGCTCCCG